TGTCAATCAGTATCACCTCAGACAGTTTGTTCAATATAAAACACATTTAACAGACGTTAAACGTTTTTTTTGTGATTGTTGCTCCATTTCATATATTTATTGTATTCTCTCCAAAACTACTCTGGGCATGTTTGTTTTGCTAGTTACACCAGATCACACTTTTGTACATAAACATTTTTCAACATCAGTCACAGGGGCGTCAAAAAACAATAATGAGTGGAAAATAAGTTGTTGACAGTCCGAATCCTCAGCACTTGCCAAAATAATCATTTGGATACTTGCACTGATCAACAACTACTGTATCAAACTTTTATTGTCATTTTGTTCGGGTGACATTCAAGCTTTATTTTAAATGATTGCCTGACAGGAAATCTTCAGTGTTAGCTGCTGGAGTTCAGTTATTTCACAATTTAGCATTTACATTCCTTCCTTTCTTTGTTCTTTTTTTAGTTACAACATTTTGCCCTGTGTATGTTTTTTTTTTTCTTTTTTGTTATTTCTAAATCAAACACCAGCAACAGCAGAACGCCGGGATGTTGTGGCTGCCACTGCCTGGGGAAATGTCATTGTCCTGTGTGAACACTCCAAAATCAAACATAAATTCACATTCTCCAAATAACATGTAGAAATATGTGCAGTTTATTCATGATTCTGAAAATTATCTGTGTATATAAACAGTCCATTAAGTCTTCCAGTTCACTTCTATAAACCAAACTGCATGGCACTATTCTGTTCACTCCCACAATATTAGTGTTACAAACCTCTGACTGATTATTATTATTATTTAATATTATTTAATCAGTAATACTGTAAATGTTTTGGAATATTATTACTTCATTAATGAGTGTTTATACTTCAGCGTCACCCCTCTTTTTGAGAGGTCTCAGACAGTGCTCTCCAGAATGCACCTAGAAGGCAGAAGGTTCTTGTCTGTCTATTTTGGAATGAGCTGCTGCCTGAGTAAATCAGATGCTAATTACACACAGATTGTGAGGCACAGTGCAAATTTGTCCTGCACTTTCATGGGAATAATACTGACTGTCATTGATTTGGCATGTCAGTTCAATGGGTACGTATGATTTGCAGGTGATACAATTCAAAATGACAGCATCATATGCAGCCAGCATCACAAGGGGGTCCCAGGAAATACATTCACATTTGGACTAACAGTGGCCCAGATTCAGGAGTCATGTTGGTAATAGAAGAGATATGTACCCTCTCTAATTCCAACACCTGTCATGGTCAGTGTTCCCTGGATGCTATTAGAATACAGGGAGGGGTTTCATCATTGTGGCTAATGAAGCGGAAGAGACACGCTGATTTGATGCGAATGCCAACAACAGACTATACTGTTATCATTAGGCTTAATTGGCACTGTCAATCATAAGTGTGTTTCCATGGCAACAGTGAGGATCAATATGAGCATGTGCATTAAGTAACCAAGATCTGTATCACATGAAGGGATGGGTCTGATGAGTGTGGATGTGGGTTTGTGTGTGTTACAAACACACAAGGATTTATGAAACACAGGCATCGGAAATCTTAACAATGTGTTTTGCTGCAAAAACGTAGTTCCAAAGATGGTATGGTTTTTTTAATATGTTTGGGAAATTGAGTATGCCACTGTATGTATAACATTTATTGAGGTTTGGCTTTGATATTCTAATAGGCTAAAGTGCAAAGGTTTGTTGGCCGCTGCTCTTGCTAGATATGATACACTTAGCAGAACAAGCCTTCAAAATGTAGAATGCTCTCTTTACTCAGTCTTTTAATTATCCAAATGATGTGTACAGACGTATTGTAATTATACATTTAAGTCCCAGTGCAGTTAGCACTTGAATTTGCTTGGTGTGGGTCTGGTACTGCTAGTTTAAAAACCCTACTTACAGTCAGCGGTAAAAGTGTGCCAATGAATGATGTTCAATTAGTAAATCCAGTTGTATCCTTTTTGTGGAGCATGGCAGTGAATCAATTACAAGATGAAGGTTTTGAAAAGGAGGATTTGTGTTACTAGATGTATTTCTGGAAAAAGTAGGACAGTCAGACACAAGTTGCTATTGTACCACCTGTTTACTTTCCTAGATTTTAACAATTTCTTCTGCTGTGACCTGCTCTTAGATTACTCATGGGCTACATTCACACTGCAAGCCTAAGTGCTCAGTCCAATGACCTGTATTATTGATGTCAGTCTAGAGTGATCACATGAATTCTAAAATGACTATTCATACTGAGGTCACATTGCAAATCTGATTTAGGCCACATATGAAAGTGTTTCGAATTAGAACTGAAAAGGCTGCGGATGGCTGTTCACATTGTCATGAAAAGATCACATCTGAGTCACATAGTAGCAAAATAATCTAAATCAAAAATGCCTGCCATGAAAAGAAACTCTATAATGTGGACACAGCTTGTCATTATGCCATCAAGCAGATAAAAAGCAGCAGTGCATGTCCTAACAGACAAATAGATCTCATTATTTTTATGGAATTGAACCTTACAACACACAGCAGCAGTCTGCAGCAGTGAAGGAAAAAGTCTGATCTTGTGTCCTACATTTTCATAGTTACAAATGGATCAGTGTTATGAGTCATGCTCTTTCCCTTTGAGAAAGGTGTTCTGCATGTCCCATATTCCTAATTATGTAATCATATCCCTAAACATGCACACATACAGACTTACTGTGCCTCCTGCATCCCTCATGTCAACCCTCTGGGTTTCACTATGTGGAGCACCAAATGAGATCACATCTCATGTGGAGGGGATGATGAGTGAGAGTATGACAATCAATTTCAAGGGAGTGTCCCAATACATGCATGTGTACTGGACTGTATAGAGATTAGTACAGGAACAGTGGACCAAATCAAAATGAAATATCTATAATGTATATATGCAGTACTTGATTTCAAAGTAGTAAAATGTTAGTCACAACTGACCTGGCAAATTTTATTTTGTGATATTTGCAAACCATTTATGACATTTCTTATGGAAAAACTTGATTGATTGATACATTCTATTTGACCGGTTTGTAGGAGAGATTTTATATTGATTTAAATCCACATCACTGCAGGAGTGTCCAGTTTTGACTGATTCCATTTCAAACAGGAACGCCTCTGAATGGACTTTAATTTTATTTCTACCACAAATGCTTTTACAGCTAAAAAGAAAAAAACAATTTGATACCTCAGCTACAAACTTTCTTTTAAGTGAAATTTAGGGACATATTTGTGTTCAAATAAAATCAAATAGATCACTGACAATTGAAACTTAAAGGATCCATGGTGATTTGCTGGTGCATACACATCTGTTTTCTAGCTGTCTACTTGTGACTGATTATACCCATTTTGATGCAGCTTTGTGTCTATATCCATCTGTTATATTAATCTGTCCAACACAAGCAATGAGACCTCATGTTGTATCTATTTTTCCTGTCTGCCTAATAAGAGGAAACCTAGCAGGTGCCTAAGGTCATTAGATATACATGATAATGTACCATTTTACACATGCTTTAGGTGTTACAATTTTCTGCAGTAATAAGTAGATTAAAAAAGAGGAAGGACCTGATTCTCTGCTAGCACCTCCAGGGAGCGTGGACTGGAATAGACTGGAATGAGTTCAAATCTCTGTTGGAATTAGAAAGAAGTCTGAATTTGGAGCACAAGGAAGAAATCTGGCCTGTTCATCAGAGAAAGAGAGATATTCATTGGTGTTTTTATGGAATAATGATGGAAGTCAAGAAAATGTAACTGAGGAGATGTGGGAAAGGCATAAGATGAGACAGTACTACACGCAGATAGACAATCTTTATTGTATAATATTGCAAACAGCATACCATTAGCGTGTTGTGCATAATCCATCTTGACTTGTATGTCTATACAAGTGCCTGTGAGCACATGCATACTTAAATAATACTTAAATAAGGACATGCATTTGTTTGAGTGTCTACACATGCACATGCTTGTTCTGAGGGCATGTGTCCATTTTAGTGTGCATGTCTGTGTAATGTGTTTCTAATTACAAGTATGTTTTCCTCAGTTGCTGAGCCGGCAAGAGGACAATGTCTGTTATGATGCAACAGGCAGCTAATCGTCTCCTTATGTAAATGCTTGACTGCTATTCAAATGACATGCAGATGGGATAGAGAGCTTAGGTTTTGGCAGGATAGTGTCATAACAACGAATGTCTGTGGAGACAATGTGCTGTCAGCATTTGGGTGATTAATGCTGCACTTTGTGTTTAAAAAAAGGAATCCTGCTCTCTGAGTGGTGAGGAGAGATTGGTTGCTGCACATAGGTATCAGCCAAAGCTGGATGACCTCATAGCCTTACGTGGTGGCGAACTAAGGGGAGGAGGGGGGGTGGTAGGGTGACTAAGTGCAGATGCAGTAAGCTTAAAGGGCACCTGTTGAAGCAATTCTGCATGCATATTCTAACGTGATAAGAAAGAACACCAGCTGAAGATAAAAAAAGTGTGGAACAAGCCCTTAAGAAAATTGAGATTTTGGGATGCCTGCAGGTTCAGTGAATAGAATCCTTCTGAAACGATTAAGTACTTATTACTAATTAATAATTTGTCTTCTCCATCATGTATCAAATCTATCACCCTATATTGTATTTGCTTTGTTCTTATATTTCTTCTATTTTGTTTTTTTTTTCTCTACAGATTCTCTCTCATTCCAAGGGTCTATCCATTTGGGTCATTCACATTTGCCGTCTAAGAAGAGACTATGAAGACAAGCTGTGTCACCCCACATTGCAGCCCAACAAGATATGACATAACATGGGTCCCCTGCTAATCACCATGATGACCATAAAGCTGTGACTGGCATTGTGAAGCCTTCACCCCTTTTTCAGCACCCAACCTGCACCCTTCTCCTCTTTGGAAATCCTTCATAGCAACCCAGCAGCAAGCTTCCCTTTCCTTTCTCCTGCAAACACAACCTCTACTTTTCTCTATTTAATAATCCCGGCTTCCCCTCTGCCTCATTTCTTTTAATTGGCATCATGCAGGGTGCTTCTACCATCTCCACTCTCCTTCTGCTTATTTTTCCCTCCTTCCTATTCTTCTCCCACTTTCCCAATATGGTCAGTGGGGACTGCTGGCTCATTGAGGGAGACAAAGGCTATGTGTGGCTGGCTATCTGCAGTCAGAACCAGCCGCCGTACGAGACTATCCCCCAGCACATTAACAACACGGTGCATGACTTGAGATTGAATGAGAACAAGCTGAAAGCTGTGCTCTTTGGGTCTATGTACCGCTTCACCAACCTGACTGACCTCAACCTCACCAAGAATGAAATCAGCTATATTGAGGATGGAGCCTTTGCTGGACAAGCCAACCTACAGGTGATAGAGAAATAAATGATACAAACTTTGAGCTTAGCACAAGAATATTGTTCACAATACATTAAACCTTTATTTGACACAAGCATTTTTTTAACATTGAACTGTATCAGAGGGATCTTTTAATTTTATATTGAAATTGAATAGGACACTTTATTGTTGTGAAATTTTGGTTGAATGCTTAACAATAAGTACTCTAAAAGCTCTAGGTATAGATCAGCTTGTATTGAGCATGATAATATTTTACTCAACAACTTGATGAATGAAATCTGTTGCATTGTTTAAACAGAATCCACTGAGCTAGTAACACAGTGTGACAAACACACGTCAACAAAACGCTGCTTTTACCATATTGCCTAAACCACTTACAGTATAAGAGGATGTAACTGAACGTGAAAGGACAATCTGTTGTAATTATACTTTGCGTAGAAAGAGTCAGTGTTCACACTAAAAAAGAGGTATCTCAAAGTTCAGTTTACAGAGATTAAAATGGACTAGTTCACTTCTTAGTTATAACAATTATCAAGTAAAAAAAAAAGTAAAAAAATCAAGTTCACAGTTCCCAAAAAAAGCACCTTTATCTCTTGCAAGAGTTAATGACACTCACGGATACGCTTAGTTCATGTTTACCAAAAACATGAACACGTTTAATGAAAGGCGCTCGTGTGTTCATGCACAGTGCACAACTGAGCAATGACAAGTTTTACCAGAAAGTTGGAAAAAAGTTTTGGCATACTTGTGTTGCTTGCCCTTTAGAACTGAATGATCACAGCATGTTTTCGATTTGGGGATTACCAACTGTAGAAATTATGACAAAAACTGGGCCCATAATGTGAAAAGAAATGAAAATGCCCTTTTGTTTTTCTCAGGTTCTTCAGCTGGGCTACAACAAGTTGACGAACTTAACTGAGGGTATGATGAGAGGGCTCGGCCGCCTGCAATGCCTCTTCCTGCAGCACAACCTCATTGAGGTTATTGCTAGCAATGCATTTTGGGAGTGCCCCAGTCTCAACAGCATTGACCTGTCATCCAACAAACTTGCTCGCATTGACCCATCCACATTCACAATTCTCAATCGGCTGATGGTGTGTGAACTGGCAGCAAATCCATTCCATTGCGGCTGTGACCTTTATAGCTTCCTAACCTGGTTGGAGTCCTTCAACAATGTCACACACACCTATGACCGCCTCCAGTGTGAGACGCCCCGTGAAATGTTTGGCTTCCCCTTACTTACTGCTGCTGGCCATGCTGGTCGGAATGCAAAAAACATTTTGTATCATCACTGCCGAAATGGAGTGATGATTCCAGGAATGACCTCTCTCCCACCAGATCTGGATGGTCCATCTGGGCTCGGACCAGAGATGTTTGGTGGTGTGGGGCCATACCACCAGCCTACCACCTCTTCCTCATCTACTGAACACAGCTTCATTCCCAGCATCAAGCTCCATCATGTCGCTTTGTCATCAGCCTCTCTCCTTGTGCAGATTCCAAGGCCCTACAGCAAAATGTATATTCTAACACAATATAACCACACATACGTGTCTGACGTCATGAATTTGAAGAACAAGAAGGAGATGATTACCCTCAATAAGCTCAAACCGCACACCAATTACACCTTCTGTGTTGCATCCATCCGCAACTCTCAACGTTACAACCACACCTGTGTCCAGTTTTCCACTCGGGCTCAAAATCTAGATGACATGCCCCCTACACCTTCCACCACAACTCACTATATAATGACCATTGTGGGCTGCCTTTTTGGCATGCTCATTGTTTTAGGCTTTGTCTACTATTGTCTACGTAAGAAACGGATGCATGATGAGAAGAAAAAGTCCATCTGTGTCAAGAAAACTATTCTGGAAATGCGCTATGGACCAGAGGTAGCAGCAGCAGTGGCTAATGATCCATCGGCAGTCCACAAGCTTCAGGAGCAGTCCAGAGAACATCACCAGTATCAGCATCACCATGGAGGCAAACTTCCCATGTCCGCATCATCCAGCTCGGGAATGCTCCACTCAGCCAACACTAGTTCCTCAAGACTTTCCTCTATTCCACAAGTAGAAAAGATGGCCACTGCCTTTTCAGAGGCTTTGGCCACAAGTAAAGGAAATTATATGGATGTCAGAACTGGAGGGGCAGGAATGGAGAGGGTGGGAGATGGTGGGCATGGAGGGATGAGGGGGGCAGACTTGAGGGATGATGATGGAACTGATGTTGGGGATGACTCAGATGATGATGGACACGGCTCTGCATCAGAGATTTCCACCATTGCCATGGAGGTGGACAAGGTTAACCAGATCATTAACAACTGCATTGATGCACTGAAATTGGATGCAGCAGCTGTTGCTGCTTCGGGGGCATCTACAAACCCTACAGCCTCCTCCAATCCCACCTCCCCTCCCCCCACCAGCACGTCTTCCCTTACTCGTGGCCTAATCCCACTCTCACAAGGGTTGACAGAGACATGCCAGGTCATTGCTCCCAACAAAATACCCCCTCCACCTCCACTCCCTGCTTTAAATGCTCCTCTTTCTGAGCGCCCAGGGATCAGTGGTGGTGGCTTTGTGGTCAGTCCCCCCTACAGGCCCCCTCCACCAGCCACTGCTGTACGTCCCATTCAGCGACAAATGAGTGCAGATGCAGCTGTAGTTATTGTAAATGCCGTCAAAAAACAGTGCAGCACCACCTCTTGTGGCTCCATGGGTCGGGATAGGGAACGTGGAGGAGCTAGGGTGTATAGCTTGGATGTTCCTGAGCCGAGGAGCCCAGATGCCTGTAATCAACAACAGCAGCAGTACCCGGACCGAGCAAGTCCTGTGGGCTGTGGGGAGCCCCTTGAGAGGCTGCCTTTAGTGGGTAGTGGGAGCTGCGGTGGAGGGGGTGGTGGTGGTTGCGACAGTGGTGGTGTTGGTGTCCAACATCAGGACAGCCAGAAGCCACACCATTATCATCAACAGCGACAAATACAACAACAACAACAGCAGCAGCTGGAGGTGCAGCAGGACTACCACTGCTCGGAGCACCGCCACTCCGTCCCAGCTCTTTACTATGAAGGCTCCCACCAGGGCTCCCCAGCCCAGAGAGTTTCCTTCCTAAAGCCCTTGACGCGCTCCCGCAGGGATGCAGCATCTTATTCCCAGCTTTCGCCTGCCCGCCACCATTCCAGTTACTCTGGTTACTCCTCCAGCCCAGAGTACTCCTCAGAGAGCTCACTGCGGATCTGGGAGCGCTTTCGTCCCTACCGAAAAGGCCAGCGGGATGAGGCCTGTTATGTGACGGCCGGAAATGCTCTTCGAAAAAAGGTGCAGTTCGCTAAAGGCGAGGACCTGCATGACATCCTTGATTATTGGAAGGGTGTGTCAGCACAGCAGAAACTGTGACTGGTGGACCAGAGATAATCATAGGGGAAAGAGTTTGGATACTGCTTAACTGATAGGCCTGTGGGCCAGAGAAAAATGGGAAGAAACACATAGGACAAAATTTTGCCTTTGGGTTATTTTTGGCATGTTAGGTGTATAAAATATTGTGCTAAGAGCAAGGACTGTGAAACTGTGCCTGGGATATGAGAGTCATTATGGTGTTTTGTTTTAAACTTCATTGTAGCACCATTTCTGGATCATTCTTATTTTTTGTTTGTTGGTTATAGCACAGTGAGCAAATGTCAACTGTGTAAGTTAGTACTCTTTGAATGATCACGTTTTGTGATCATATGGACTGTCTTTATTAGTGCCATGTTTTCATCTATGGGTAATCACAGAAGGTAATTCTTGATGTCCTTAATTTTAAGCTTGTGTGATCCAAGTCAAATTTTTTATTTGGTGCTGTATCAATTTGCAGTGTGCACTTCGATATGTTTAGACTTCTAAGTGAAGGGAGACCATAACGGGGTGACAACATGCCAATTAGCAAACAGAGTTGTCAAATGTAGACCGTATCTCTCTTTCATGAGTTCATTGATGCAGCTAAGGTATTTGTATTTGAATAACATCTGTTACAGAGAAAGAAAGGATACATTGGAAAGAAATTAATTTAAAAAAAAACATTTAAGTTGCAGCATAAATAAATCATGAGAGAGAGAGATTTAAAAGTGTAAACTTAGCCTGCTCTGATTGCACCGTGATATGTAGACACCTCTTTTAAGGTAACAATCTTACATGATTCAATGAGTGGTGTAAAGAATATTGTCTCACAAGACCCAAACTGTCCTAAACAACATTTCCCCAAGTAATGATCAAAATTGTAAGCGTAATGGGGAGAAATAATGCTCCCATTTTTGAAGGCAATCAGATGCTACTTACCTGTACAGTGGGGAAATTTAGCGAATAGACAGGTGAGCTCACACTTTCCCCGTACAATAAGAAAGGATAGAAGATGGGGGTATAAAAGAAAAAAGGGAAGACAGGCAAAGACATAAATAATTTTCTGCAGCCACTGTGAATGTAAGTAGATTACAAGCAGGTTAAGGGGAATTCTATTTGCATCATTCAATATGAGCACCACAGTACATTCCAAATCCTTTCTCTAACATGAAAACTGAATGAGGCACAGAGGGAAAGGACACTTACAATTACTGCCAATGTGTCTGTTCTGTTCTGGAAATTAATACTATTGTTGTCTATTGATAATTTAATTAGCCAACTTGTGACAGGCATGTTTGCTTGCACTTTACGCCTCATGACTGTGTGTGTGGCTGTGTGGTATACTACAGTGGTCAGTGTAAATGGGTGTTGGCATGCCTTGTCAGATTATATTGTATATGCCCAAATTGACTTAAATTAATTGTCAATATCTTTCCCATTGGCTGAATGTCTGAGTTTAAACAATACCAGATTATTAATGGCATGGACAAATGTACAAATATCAACAATGTTCATTGTATTTTCCCAGACATACATCACATTGACTGTGATGCTCAGATATACCACAGTAGCGCAGTGCCTCTTGCTAACACAGCCATAATCTAATCTCCATTTATGTATAGTATTATCTGTCCACCTGGCCTCTTCTACTAAAATTATATGATTATGATTTTCCAAAATAATGTCACAGCCTGACATTCTGAAAAATGTCATTCTTCTTACCCACAGTGCTGTGTAGCTGTTGACATTTTGCATCATCAGCAAACATACACAATCTAGATATCCTACCCTAAAAATGTGAAAACTTAATCAGTGGTCCTTGCTCCACATTTTTTGTTCAGGGCTGTATTCAAGAGAAAAAGAAGTTAGAGAAGCCCAAGTTTAATTTCAAGAACATTTTTATCTCTCTTTTGATCCTCACTTGTTTACTGTGGATGATGTTATTTGGCCAACCTCTCACCACCTCTCCTGTTCCCAAAGGTCCAAGAAGATATGGGTTTGGCATGAGCAGAGTACTGAACATGACTTGTTCTGTTTTATTAAAAGAGAAAAGTGAGAAATTGCCTTTCTTGCAGTCAGGGCTTGGGTCAGCACAGCACATATCGACACTGATTTCCATGGTTTTTTGAGCAGTTGATTTTTAGCATGCACTTGACTCCTCTGAATAAGGTTAAACAGGAATGAGTATACAAAGCAAGATGGTGGTGTGTAATGGTACCCCAATATTGATCGATGTTTTTATTTCTTCCTCTTTGTTTTCATAAAACATCTATCTATGTCTTATTTTTCTTGTTTTATTAAGATGTGTAACAATCCAGGTCAGAAGTCATAAACATTGAAGTCAGTGTTCTGCCATGAGTGTCTACAATTGAATGGACCACATAAGATCAAGATCTTCATCTCAGTGATACCGTGTCTGAGATGCATCACCTCATCCGCCTTCTTTATATGATAAAGCAGCATGTGATGAACATACAGTCTTGGAAATTGTTCCCTGTTGATCTCTTATTATCTGAGATACGAAGGTTTCCAAAGGAACTTGTTACTGTGATTGACTCAGACTTCCACCAAATCAGAGGAAAGGAGTTTTTTTGCTGGTACCTTCCAAGAGTACCAAATTCCACAGAGGGAACTTGGTGTGTTTAAGTCCCCAGATCCTCAACTGCCATAACATGTTTACAGAAATGGACATTGAGGATAACAACAAATTCATAAATGTTCAGTAACATCAGGATTGCTCATGATTTCAGCTGCCATCTATATTCATCTACCTGATAATGTATAATGTGACAGAAAATCCTGATTATTACTGTTTTCATGGATGACATTTAATTTCATATATTTTGTATTTTAAATAACATTTAACAGACTAATGTATTTTTCAGGAAATAGATTTTCAGGGGACGGATGTACGTTCAGATCAAGTGCTCTTCTGCTCAAATTTCATTCAAAGGTTTGTTTGAATGAATCTCTATGATGATAATTGATTACTGGCCGAACAGAGAACATTGTTAATGCTGGTGTGAGAAGTGCCAATCTTTCTACTGATTTGGTGTTTTCACCATTCAAATGAGTGCTTGCCGTAGTTGCAGGGGCTATTCTGTTTCTCATCATGAATAATTACTTGAAAGCCTGCTGCCAAAGTACTGACAAGAGAGTCTTCCAAATGAAAATGAAGAGAAGTTTACACTCTTTAAGTCAGTGTTTCAATTAATTTCCAAATAACTTTAAAAACAGGTACCCATATTGAAAAAAGAGGCAGAGAAACATTTTTTTAAAGTGGTAATTTCTGCACTCCCAAATAAACCCCCTGCTGTTTATTATTGCTTGCTCCCCATAAACTTAGCAATGATTGGTGGTTAAGGCCAAACCATTGGGTCAATTGGACTTGGCTTAGGGATAATTAATACGGTACACTTTTATGTTGTGGTTATTGTAAAATCAGTTTATTGTCACTCCACAGGATTGAAGCTTTCAATAAAACAGAGGACAGTCTTGAGTAGTAGCCAGTTCAAGCTGAAATACTAAAAAACACATTTTTTTCTCAAAAAAATAAGCACTGTCATCATACCTGTTTTTTGTCCCACAAAGCTAGCATCAAACAAAAAAACCCTTCTCTTCCTTCTCAGCTCATATCCTTGTTGAACCCCTGGAAGGGGGCTCACTCGGAGATCAATGGTCCTTTTTGTTGCACCGTCCTTGTTGTTTGTCTCAGAGCCACAGGAAAGCCAGACATGAGAAAGCCATCTAATGTGCTATTAATGTTTAATCCTTTTGTGGGAGGCTGGCTCGGGTTGCTTCCCCTATCTCTGTATACCCCAGAAAATCACAGGCGCTTTCAGTTTCTAACATATTAATCCTTTGATGCTCTCTTATATTTAAAGTCTGGCCCAATTAAACTAAACTGTAGTTTCTTGAATGATGAATCAGAGACCAAAATTGGATGTGGGTTTATATCTAATCAGTTTCAAAATTACCAAAGAAGTTAAATACTTAGTAATGCATTAGTAAAGACCACAGTAAAAAAGGTTTCAGTCTTCCCATGACATATTGCACTTTTTAACCATGTGATCTGTCCTTGAAACACCCTCAGTCAAAGTTAGAAATGAGCCATCATCATCATTTGAAGGTAATTTAAGGATGCAGTACTAATACCAATGGCTAATACACAAAAATGAGCTTGATTGTTTACTGGACAAGTTTTTTTACAATATATAAGAAAAATGTTCACAGATTTGTAGATATAAGACATCTTTGTACATGTAAAACAATGCTCTCTAACAGTGTCACTGCAGCCAATGTATTACAACATACATAACATACATACATACATACAGTACATCCACTGGATACTATGAGCTATAATATATATTCACTGATGCCACCAGTCCTATCAGTGTATTACAATGCACATTATTGCTATTCCTACATTATAGTAACAAAAAGCAAAGTAAATCAAGACCTAGAGTGATGCAACATGAGAATGATATGTACAAAAAGCGATTTGTAAAGAATTGAATAATGTCGCGTAATTAAAGAAATCAATCATAACAAGGAAAAAATAAAAAATGTTCAGGTTGACAGTTTACTCCCACTACTCCCTTTCCCTACCCAACATACACATACACATACACACACACACACACACACACTCACCACAAGAGTAGTGGGCAAAAATGGAACATAAAGTGAGTCAGAATGAGTCACAGTCTAACTAAAAAAAAATTCCTGACAGGCAGGTAATGGGCAAGGTCTACAAAGAGAAAACAGCAATAAGAGAAAAAATTTGGCTGAACACAGGCAGACGTCTTGGATTGAAGATGTGGAAGCATGGCTACACTAAACCTTATGATGCATGTATTGGCGCACTGCTTCAAATGAACCACAACACACACACACATAACAGAGGCATATTGTGGGAACAGTTCTTACAAAACATTCAGAAACTTCAGCATTTCTCACATTTGTAATCAGCCCTCCTTTTAAAGCCTTAAGGAGGGCAGCTTCATTTCCACTTAATT